CGGAGCAAATCCATCTGGCGGAGTCAGGTCAGTGTTCAGGGTAGTAGGTAAAAATAAGTGTATTTTACATGTTTTCTGGAGCCTTTACACAGCACATTGCAAACTTCCTGTGACTTTTTTGGCTTTATGTTCTAACCAGTCTTCTATAAAGATGGTCTGGCCGTCCTATCAACACATTGCAACTGAGCCGTGGATCTTTATAAGCTGTTAGGTTTAGTCAAACAAAGTGTATCACAATTTGTGCATTTAAAAAAAGTTTAATTTGCAACTAATTCCAGCAGTTAATTATTATGTTCCCCCCTATTTTATATTGCCTTTAAATACAATAATGTAATTTATATTTATATGTGTGATTTTTAATATGTTAGTTCCAACAATTCAAAGTTGCATAACTGGCCTCAGCAGTTGTGGAAGTTGTGAATCACACCATATTAGCAAATGTTTGGGGTTTAATTTCATACTTAATTACTTTCTGACTGCTGGGTGAGTCATTGAAGCGCTCTGTAATTGCCTGAATTCCAGACAGGATGAAATCAGAGTACCTGTCTGTCTGCCTCGTCCAGGTGCTCCTTGCTGGAGGTAGAGCTGTTGTCCTCTTCGTCTGAACTGTGCATCTCTTCCTCCTCAGAGTGGACATCGTCCTTTAGCCAGTCGCTGTTTGGGGAAAACACAAAGAGGATGTGAGGGTCAGGGAAGGAATAAGCTCCTCTTTCATCCTGCATGAGTCTGCAGAAAAGGAGACAGGTAGGGCGGCAGAAGAGTGAATGAGTGTTTAGAAAAATACTCCCTGGTAATTAAAGTTTAAACAAATCTTGTGGAATGAACTCAGTCCAAACCTTAGTTACCTAACTGTGACATAAAAAAAAAAATTACTTTAAAGTCCGACTTTAAACTCTTAAGGAAAGTTTCACTGAAGGGTTCAAAGAACCTTTAAACAAACCATAGAACTCCAAAAATAAATGACCACAACTATGAAAATAATCAAAGGACACCTCGACGGTGTGGAGGATGTAAGAGTGAAGAGAAGTAGGAAACTTTTTTTCATATAATTATATAAAGAAACATTTCAGCCTGTTTTCAGTGAAATGTCAGAACGTAGGAGTTTACTGCTTGTTGAGGATTTTACCTCAAAGCATCTCAGTGATATCACGGTCTGGTTAAACTCAGCCAAGGATAAGTCACTGAATTCCAAACATATTCACAAGTTCAGCTTGGATGCAGTTTTGCTTGGTTTGTATAATGCAAGCATGAGGAAATAACATCGTATATATCATTATTATATCGGGGAAGCTGTTATCCTTAAAACCACACCTGACATATATCCAAATATAAGACAAGACAAGATTTTATAAACAACATCGCTATTAAATATTTTCCAGATATTAAGGAATGCAGGGAAAAGGTTATATTTTATTTTTATAATTACCAGGATGCTATCTTTTTTGTTTTTTTAAATATGTGATGCCTGTTAGAGCTTAGAAATAAAATGGTCAGATCTGTTTTTCTTCTTGTGAGTTTTTATGGAAAGCAGACTTGTGCTTGAATGGAAAGATGATCCCATCGTAGCAGAATTGGTGATATCGCCGCAAACATTGCAACGTCACCCTAACCGGGGACGCAACCAACGACTACGTTGCTAATCGATTCTTTTTTAGATTAATAATCAGATGGCAAAAGTTTCCTAAAAGAGGATTTTACAAGCTAAAAATCAGCATAAAAGAAAACTTCTAAGACAAACCAGGAACCTGGTTTAGGTTTAAATAAAGCATGGAGGCAGCTGCATCTTTCTTCCAAGCTAAACTTCAACTCAAAATCCTGTTTATAAAAGAAAAAAAATAAACATTCATCCATTTTCCATCATGCTTATCCCTGCTGGGGTCACGAGGAGTGCTGGTGCCTATCTCCAGCTGTCTATGGGCGAGAGGCGGTGCACAACCTGGACAGGTCGCCAGTCCATCACAGGGCAACACAGAGACAAACAGGACAAACAACCATTCATGCACACAATTAAGGCCAATTTATACTTCTGATGGATAGCCTCTGGAACCATCAAATCTGACTCTGTGACCTGCACCTCAAAAAAATCCTGACTACACATCGGACTGTCGCGCACCTGTGCAGGCCTCAAGCGGATGTGCACAGACAAAAAGCAGCTGTGATTGGTCCTTGGTATGCCTTTCCAGCTGTCTGTGTGGTCGCCCTTCTTGATTCGGTGCCGGGGTGCGCCATTTTTAAAAACCGAGGAACAACTACAATGGACGACTACGACAAAAGGTTAATCGGTCTTTTTGCCAACTCCATTAACAGAACCTGTTCCTCTTCGATGTCTAGCAATGCTTCATCCATCTGTGTGACCGTGACCATTGTTTTTTTGGAAGATAAACACTCACGACGGCGCCGCCCAAGATCTTGCGAGTTCTTGGATAGGCTCCCTCTTGCGCTTTGGCAGGAAACTGCCAAAAAAATTCCAGACCGACGTTGCAGAAGCATAGCAGCAAAACTGGTTTGCGACCAGACCCAAGCGACATTTGATGTGTGCGGTTGCAGAAGTATAATCTGTCCTTTAAACCTAAGGAGTATTTAGAGAAGCCAAAGAGCCTAACAGTCATGTTTTTGGACTGTGGGAGGAAGCGAGTACCCGGAGAGAACCCGCGCATGCACAGGGAGAACTCGCAAACTCCATGCCAGGAATCAAACCCAGCATACCCGGTTCGATTCGCGTGTGTTGCGTTCGGTTCATGCGCTGCTTCTTTTTCTCACAGGCGAAGCGTTTACACTCCAGAGCAGAAGGTGGCGGTACTGCGACCAAAGCCAACCACCAGTAGTAAACAAGAAGAAGAAGAAGCGTAGCCGGGTGTAGCAGAAAAAAATCAGTTGTTGTGGAGAATTGTGTGGGTATGGCGAGTGGGAAAGAACAGGAGTTGGAAGATTTATAGGTCTGTTGTATGGGACCGCTTTGCATTTAGAGTGACCTACCATGACGGCGGAAAGAAAGTTGTGGATAAAAGTGCAAGAGTGTGCAAGCATTGTGCAACACGACCAACATGTCAGGCTAACAATCAACATATACCGAACTGAACCGAAAACCGTGACCACGAAACCGTGAACCGAACCGTGGATTTTGTGAACCGTTCCACCCCTAATATATATATATATATATATATATATTTATTTATTTGATTTTTCCTTTTTTTTAAACCTAATTTATATTTTTAAATGACTCAAACATGTAACGTTTGTTTTACATAGACATTACATTTATCAATCTTGTGCCAAGCGAGTATTGGCATGGGTGTTCGATACGATGCGTGCCACGATACTTGGGTCACGATACGATATTATCACTATATTGTCATATCACCATATATTGCGATATTTTTCCTGCTATCAAAATTAAATGTATAGGTAAAAAAGCAACCTCTGTATATGTTCATCAGATGATATTGATCGTTCAGTTATTTTGGTGTCCGTGTTCTTTGGGGTTTGAGTCAGCCCACGTCTTCCACTGTGCCTCAACCACAGATATGTCGCTGCGCCGCACAGCAAAAGGGCTCCATAGCACCATCTGCCTGAGTGGCGGTACAAAGGTAGCCCATTTTCCCTCAGTTTTAGGTAAAAATTATTTGCTTAAAAAATGGATACTAGGAACTAAAAGACCGATATTATATCATGCAGCCAAAAATCACGAATTTTTTTCTACACCCCAAGTGCCAAACCTTTACCAGGACAGTTATGTTTGCTGAGACATTTCAACCTGCACTCCTAAAACCTGCCTCTTATCGTGCTTCTGGCAGCTCATCGACACTCAGACTCAGGTCTTCCCACAGTAGGCGGTCTCTGCCAGATTAGGACAAGCAGCAACATGTGTTTGTGCCTTTAATGTTTAGATCTGGCTCTCCTGTTTTGTTTGTTTCCTGCTGAATAAAGCCATGCTAACCTGAGAGATTGCAACCTGAGAAATTAAAAGTTTTCTAGTTCTGTTCCCAGAGGGAAAATGCAAAGCTTCAGGATGGTTATTGCAGAAAAAACACAAATCCTTTTCCTTTCTTTCTTACCTAAAAGCCCAAATTTCTCCCTTTTTGTCCCAGATTCTTTATTCCACGTCTTCCTTGTCTCCATTCGGTTTCTCCAGCATTGTGGATCAGGCACAGAGCGACACTTGTTTACAGCCCAAGGCTACTTACATAAACTTAATAGGCTCGGATGCCTGGGAAACACCACGGATTCGCTGGCTGCCTCTGTCTTCGCTTTAACAAACACCCCAGCTCTGCATACCAGACTGAATTAAGAAGCAAAGCACATCTTAGATGCTTTAAAGGCTGATATAAAATCTGTAGAAAAAAGAACCTAGAATGGATCCTGACAGCATCCGATATATCCAGAGGAAATAGAAGACGTCTGAGATGATAAACACAGCTGACTTCTCGATCATAAATACTGAACTGAATAAACTATTTTATTTTGGTCTGGAAGTTAAAAAAAACAACAAAGGAAAGTCTAAAAACTAACAGGTTCCAATTTTTTTACGAAATCTGGCAGCAAACATCTCAATAAACACATTATTATGAAATGTTATCACATTATCTCTTTAAATGTGATTTTAAGTCAGTTTAATCAAGATAAATGTTTAATATTTGCTTTATCAGGATTTTTTTCAGTATTAATCCTATCTTAAAATAGCATAACATACATTTTAAATATATTATTACATCCAGATTTCACTGTAATGATGAAGGTTTAATTATCTTGAGCTCCAAACTCTAAAAATGTTTTTGTTGTGAAGAAAGTGATATTAAACTTTCTGTCATGATCACTGATTTTTTTTTTAATAGTTGATGAGCCTCTAAGCTTGATTAGTCAAGAGAACTAAATTATTTTCTCAATAAAGCAAATTATTAAGAAAAATTTTTCTCTCTAGGGACAAAAAACTTTTGTTAGACTATTTGAACATCAGTCTATATGAACTTTTTTTTCTCCTTTTAGTTTATTTATCCTAGTATCTTGAAATATTTAGAGCTATAAAATAAGAAAACTTTTTTGGAGGAGTGCTGTAAATTAAAAAAAAAACATCTGTACATGGAAAAGAGTCTGCTAATGTTTTCCCTTTTAACACTTCTATCCAGAGCTGAACAAGGCTGTCAATTTTTATGATGTCACAGATGGAGACAAAAATGACAGATCGAATGTTTTGAGACAAAAATCCATTTTTTTTTGTTGGCAAAGCTTCATTAAAAGACTGTAAGAGATTAATGATTCATTTTGCAGCATATCCAGACTTTCCTTTCCCTGACAGACCATTTCTGCAGAATGTTAACCACAGAAATCAACTTCAGTGAGGAAATAAAAACATACGACTGGATTTCATAAACAAGCAACCAGAGAAGCTTCATTTGTAGAAAAGTTATGTGAGAAAAATGTGAAATGTGTCGTAAAATAATAGAGTTTTGCCTCCAGATGTTTAGCCTGTTATGTATTAGAATGAATCAAACTGATTCGGCATTTATTTGTGAATTTATACAAATATATGTTACAGATTTTAGTTCCTTACCAATCATTTCCTGCTATAATCATCCCATGTTTGCTACTTTTTTTGCCCTACCTGTTTTATTATTGTAGTTAAAATCTCCATGAAAAAAATGTGTTAAAAAGCTTTTATTTTTTATTTACCCTTTTCTATTGGCTCTTTGTTCAGCATGAGAACCAACCAGTGAACAGAGCTGCAGTGGCTGGGAAAGAAAGCAGGATAAGGTTAAAAAGAGGTTAAACGTGGTGCGAGGGCAGACAGAACGAGGAGGAGGAGAAGGATGGTGGTTGCTGGAGGTATATTTTCCCTGATTTAGAGCTGTGTGGTGATTTTTGCAATTCTCAAACATTTCCTGCTCTGCTCACTGGAAATAACCCACAGGAAAGCAGGCCCACTCGGCGCTCCGTTCAAAGTCAAAGCCACTGACTCAGAGCATGTCTGCCTTCTAGTAACGAGCTGCTTTGGTCACCTGTTAAACCTGTCACAGTTCTCACATCGAAGGGAAACAGGAGGAGTTTAACATCCAAATATAGAGATTTCTTTTTTTATAATTTCTTCTGCTTAAAGGCAGAAGACATGGAAATCAAAAGAATTAAAATAACAAGCGAAGTGAAAGTTTTCCTGCTTTGCACTTTTACTTTTATCTAAAACCAACAGAATAATTAGATTTTCGGCCCACCTCTCGTATTCGTGCTCGCTGTGAAAGGGATCCTGCACCTCGTAGATGTTAGCGTCTCCTTCGTCCTGCCAGCCCAGCCTGCCGCTGTGGAACGGCAGGTTCATATACTCTGGGATCTCGTCATACAGCTGCACGTTCTCATACTCCACATCTTCGCTGTGAATATCCGTGTCCTGGATGCAGCTGCTGGGCCGCTCCAGGCTTTTGTCCCCGCTACTGGAGTCCGAGCTGACGCAGTCCAGGGACTGGCCCCCTTTGGCCAGCAGCTTTGGCAGCATCTTCACAGACAGCCGCAGCTCCAGCAGCTTGCGGAAGGAGAGGCTCCTCTTTTGGGAAGAGCTGGCCCGGGTTGCCAGGTCGGCTGCGGAGAAGGACTGCGCCCTCTGCTTGCCCCCTAACGCCGGCGCTCGGCTTTTAGGCGGCACGCTGCTCCTGGTGGGGATCTGACGGCTGAAAAAAGTGACGCAGGGCCGGGAGAAGCGCCAGGCAGTTTTCTCCTGAGGAGGTGGGGGCAGCTCTCTCATGGGGGTGCTGGCGTGAGGAGGCGCAGGAGGACAGAAGGAAGGCGGCGGCGGTGCGGGCAGGCTGTGTCTCTGAGGTTTCCTCGGCGGCGCCCTCGGTGACTGCTGATCATCGGAAGAAACGGCTTTCCGGCTGTAGACCAGCGGAGGGTGACAGCCCAGTTTGATCTGCTTGGGGAGGCTGTGGCAGATGGGGTACCGCTCAAAGTCGCCGTACCCGTCCTCCTCATCCTCCTCCACCTGCTGAGCCTCTTTACCGGGACCCTCTGAGTCAGGTTGGGAGAGCAGGTCTAAGGAGTGGGAGGTGTTTTTGTTGAGCGAACAGCGGACAGTTCTGTGGAGGCGTGGAGAGAGGGAGGTCTGTCTGGGAGGCGGAACGGGGACGTCTGTCTCTGAATCCACCAAACACGAGTCTCTCTGAGTTTCAGAGTCGTCCTGGTTCTCTGTTCTGACAGACAGAGGAGCGTCTCTCAGTTTGCCCTCAGGCTCATTTGTCTGTTCCTCCACTAGCACCACCTGATCCTGAGTGCCACCCTCCACGCCATCCTGCCTCACCAGGGTCGGCTTTTTAAACCTCCGTGGGTGGGGGACTGGGAGAGGCTTACTGGGAGCAGCAGGGACTGGTAGATCAGGTTGGGAACCGATTAGAAATGTTCGGCTGATGGAATCGGCCCCGTCTCCCTCAGGCTCCGATGGAGCGAAACTTGTCAGGATGTTGCCTGCAACATCACAGGCTGACGTACGCGCCGCAGTCAGCTCGTCTGGATCATTAAGTTCTGAAACTCCACTTTCCTCACGTTTTCCCTCCTCAGTCCTCTCTGCCTCTTTGTTAACTAATCCTCTATCAAGGTATCTCTGTCTTTGAGGTTTATCTCTTGGCTTTTTGCTAATCCTTTCCTCCTTAGAAACAGGTGGGGCCCTCGTCTGGAGCTCCCCTTCCTCTTGTGTGCTATTGCCGGGGGTAACCCCATTCTGCAGAGGCTCTTTATGGAAATCTGCTGGAGACTCAGTCGAGTCTCCATTTTCCTGCGGATGGCACTTGGAGAACTCCTCGCCAGAGCATGAGCAGGCGGGAATGATGTAATCCGACGTACGCCTGCCTGTCTCCGATAAGATCCCATTCTTGGAGTTGAGATGAAAGAGGTTCTCATCCAAAGTCTCCTCCTGGGAGAGACTGAAAGGTTCGGCTGGTTTGGGCGGCGGGGGCGAAACAGGCGGTGGAGAAGTGGCCGTGGATCGAGGAAGGCACGGTTTAGGAGCAACAGCTGGCTTTGGCCTCTTAAGGGTAGAAGGGGAGGGCTGGGAGAGAAGAGGAGACTGGGAGAGAGGACATGGCTTTGGGGCGATGGGTGGCTTGGTTGGAGCAGGGAGTTTTGGTTTGGGAGCTAATGGAGGCTTCTTTACACCTGCATATAAAATAAAAAGAGAGAGAAAATGGTGGAAAATCAACAAGTTTCTTACTGGATCTCCCTCAGAAAGGCATGCCCCATTCCTACTTCCTGAAATGTAAGCAGCGACAGCTGCAAGCAGAAGTTTAGATGGAGGTCAAAGGGCCAATTTCAGGGTCAGAGGTTCAAACTTAAAAAGAGATTAGGATGACATTCTTTAAATAAAATATAGAAAACCAACCTTTTGATCTTTCTACTAATAACATCACAGTTTCTATTTTTATATCTCACTTGTAAATATAGTTCATTTAAGTATGCATTCATTTTTGTTTTTTTGTCGCACACAATTATTTACACCCCTAGAATTTTTTTTAAATCAAACTACAACCATAAACTAAAATTATAGTTTATATTATGGCTAGTTTTGGACCCTTGCTAAGCACTGATCAAATGCACCATCCCCCTTGTGACGTACTACGGTGGTGGAAGTGTCATGATGCGGGGGTGTTTTTATACAGCAGGGGCTGCAAAAAGCCAAACTTGTCGCTGAGGACAACAAGTGTCAATAAGTGGCAGCATTATGCTGAAGGGATTTTTTATGAGAATATATAAGGAGATTCCAAAAAAGTTTAAAAAACAATCCACTAGACTATGTTTTGAAGTTTGAAGATGTTTCGCTTCCCATCAAGGAAGCTTTTTCAATTCAAAATCCATCGAAAATTGAAAATTTTTAATTAAAAACGCTTCCTTGATGGGAAGCGAAATGTCTTCAAACTTGGAAACAAAGTCCAGCGGATTGTTTTTTAAACTTTTTTGGAATGACTATGACCTGAATCTCTGAGAATCTTCACCAGCATATAAGGAGTTAATTACAGATCAATCAATGTGCGCTAGAATGGTCCAGTCAAATTTCAGATCCCATTTGAGAATAATGTCGTTTTTTAAACAGACATTCTTCATTGAAACTGACTGAGCTAAAAATAAAATATGCTCTAATTTAAGTCCCTTTATCGAATAATATTGCATAACAACAAGCAGTTTGAATGTTTTCATAAGGCTCTTTAAAACTAATATAATAATTTTAAAATTGTGGTTCATTTTTCGTTTGTGCACACCTAATAAATAAACAACTTCTCTGCCACATGTGGATGTCAAGGCTTAGTAGAACTGAACTGTCGTTATGTAATTTTCCACAGACTGTAAATTAAATTCGGAAGGAGAGGAAATAACCCAGTTTAAATAAAGTACCAAACATCACCCTGGTCAGACAAATAAAAGAGCTGTGAAATCAGATGTGGTGCTATATTTTCCGCTTTCTTCCTCACGAGCCGACACCATGAGAAGTGGAGTCATCAAGCGGATGTTTCCTGAAAGGCCAACAACTGAGAAAAAAGGTGCTGCAAAACAAGCAAGCTGCATGCATTACCAAACTCCATTCAAAATAATCTATAAACATAAGTTATAAACATAAAATCATCCTTATTAACTTATTTATTTCGATATTCTTTTGTTTTAAGTTTCTTTTTATAATTCGGCCTTAACATCCAGTTAAAAATTTAATATTTCATAAGGTAATTATAAACTTTTAGAACTTAGTTCAAGAATAGCGATTTTAAGCATTACCAAACTCCATTCAAAATGAACTATAAACATAAGTTATAAACATAAAATCATCCCGATTAACTTATTTATTTAGATATTATTTTGTTTTAATCTTCTTTGTATAATTCGGCCTTAATATCCAGTTAAAATGTTTAGTTTTCATAAGGTAGTTATAAACTTTAACAGCTTAATTCAAGAATAGCGATTTTGAGCATAACCAAACTCCATTCAAAAGTATCTATAAACATAAGTTATAAACATAAAATCATCTCTTTTAACTTATTTATTTAGATATTCTTTTGTTTTAAGATTCTTTTTAGAATTCGGCCTTAATATCCAGTTAAAAATTTTAGTTTTCATGAGGTAATTATAAACTTTTATAACTTAGTTGAAGAATAGCGATTTTGAGCATTACCAAAACTAATTCAAAATTATCCATAAACATAAGTTATAAACTTAAAATCATCACGATTAACTTGTTTATTTCGATATTCTTTTTTTTAAGTTCCTTTTTATAATTCGGCCTTAATATAAATTATTAATTAATTAGTTATAAAATTGTACAACTTAAAGTGTGTCTTTGCATGCTAACAACAAATCCGGTTTATAAAAATATGTGCATCGAGTAGGAAAAGCTTTGAAATAGCAGGAAACGCTTGTTTTTTGTTATTTTTAACGAATCTGGCTGCATGTGCAAGAAAGCTTGACTGATTGCGATTCCATATTTTGTGCAACTCAGCTAAACTGCGCAGCGAAATTTAAAATCAAGCCGATACTATCAGTTTATACCGCTGTAACAGATGATTGGTCAGACTTGTTGCATCAACAGCAGGACAGATGTTAAAGACAAAGGATTTAGCCTTTCCAGCTGCCACAAACACAAAGGGTTACAACTTTCTTCTAAAAAGCACCGACATGTAGCTCAAAACCGATTCTTTTCTATGTTTTTGAAAGCTGTTATTATGAAAAACTGTAATTAACTGTGGGTAGGATTAAAAAAGGAGTCAGTGGATGCAATCGACCGTTAGGGATGTTAAAAATGTCTCTCTTTTTGCTTTATTCACATCAAGGCTCCGTACAAAAACGACAATTGGAAAAAACAAACATTGTTGTTTAGCTTTATCTGGAAAAAATATATATCTCTAAGCTAAGAAAAGTTAGCTTCGACACGAACCTGTGCTCATGACTCCCGACTTCTTCTCGCTCCTTTCTCCATGAGTAGAAAAAAATACTTTCAATGGAACTCCGAGAAAATCTGGCTATCTTCCCCCCACTCCATTGTCAGAGGGAAAAGCGAGGCAGGCAGAAAAGCAAGGGCTCCATTTCTGCTGTTCCTTATCTTGCCAGCGGATACACCGATAAAGTTGGTGAGCCAGTTACTTTTTCCATTTTTTTTATCCAAGTTTTCGGCCACGGTGCTTTTCCGAACAGTAAGATGCAGAATTGAAGCGCAACACGTGGGTGCTTCCGGTTAAAAACCTTCAAAATAAAACTACAATTTAAAAACACGGTTTGGATATTTGGGAGAATTACACGAAAATTAGATTATGTATATAGATTATATTGCTTTTATTTGATATTTATTTTTAGCAAGATGCGGTGAAGCGACATTTGCGTTTGTTTCATATCATTCATGTGTTTTGATTAAGGGTTGATTTATTTAGAAAACCGTTTCCGGTTAATTCAAGCTAATTTTTGAAATTGATCATCGTTTCCTTCCTTTGCTTTCCCAAAAATGTACCGCTTCGTTTTACTACCACTTGGGGCACTCTAAACGATTTTCGATGATAAAGCTCACGTCAACGTGGGCGCCATATTGGCAGGGGAAACAGCGGCAAGCCACTTTGAGAGACCTGATCATGCAAAATACCCCAAAATAAAACAATAGGAGTATCAGCTTTTGTAGAAAAAGCATTTATTCACATACAACTGTACAGTTATGGTTCAAATGTTTAAATTCTTATAAATATATAATTTTCCTTCGTGTTTTTTTTTTTTGCAATGTACATTTGTGCCATTTTCTGCTGTCTGCATTGAATGTTTTTTTATTTCGACATACTAATCCAAATGTCAGAAAACTGAGCCTTTCTTAAATATAAAAATTTTTTTTTTCTTCCACAACATACAAATATTTCTTTTTTGTTTAGCAGATTTGCTCCTACATTGCATGACACAATCAAAGCAAATTGTGTATCCTTGCATAAACTTGTCATTCTATGGAATATTTTCCAAATCCTTCTACAAAACTGATGCATATGAGTTACCTTGCCAGACCAAACCCCATTTTAGTATATGCTGGCAAATGTCTCCAAAAATTTTCTTAAACCTTGGATCAAAGCTCACTGTTGGCATCTAAAAAACATTCATTAGTGTCCTTTCGTAAATAATGTGGTGGCATTCAGGACCTATTGCTGCATGGATTAATGGTTGGGCCTTCCCATGCTGTTTCTATTGGCATTAAATATTCCTTCTGAGGTCTTGGCAGTATTATTTAGATTTTCTCTATGAAGTGACTTAGGAAAGCAGTGTGACACCGTACACTAAAACACGCTTATGGATTGAATTGATGCATTTTGGTGGTTTTCCTTAGAAAAAGTTAAAACTTTGAGCCAATCTGAATGTATAATCTGGATTGAATGGTTAGATTAAATCAGATTACTCTGGACGTGTCATCATCACATGATTGGTGCTATATAACTACAGCAAATTGAATCAAATAGATTTTTTCACCAAGGTTATTTAAATGTTGTGAAGTGTTCGAAATTATAGCAAATGTTACGAATCCTATATTATTTGGTATCAGTTTATAACTATAACTTATTGAAGCCCATTTATGCCACATAAAACTACAAAAATTACAAATAGAAAGTCATAATTATGAGATTCAAAGACATAATTTCAACTTTCAAAGTCACAAAGTCAAGAATTCTGACTTTCAAACTTTGTAACTCATAATTATGACTTTAAAAAGTCAAAATTATGACTTTGTGTCTCACAATTATGAATTTCAAACTCAAAATTATGGCTTTGTAACTCATAATTATACCTTCGAAACTTGAAATTATGACTTGGAATTAATAATTACGACTTTAAAAAGTCAAAATTCTGACTTTGTATCTCATAAGTATGACTTTGTAATTCATCATTATGAATTTGAAACTCAAATTTATGAGTTTGAATTCATAATTATGACTTTGAAGGTCGAAATTATGAATTTGAAACTCAAAATTATGACTTCACATTTAAAATTATGCCCTTAAAGAGCCATAATTATGAAGTTGTATCTCATAATTATAACTTTTTAACTCATAATTATTCATTTTTAACTCATAATTATGAATTTGAAACTCATAATTATGAATTTGTAACTCATAATTATACATTTGAAACTTGAAATTATGACTTGGAGTTAATAATTATGACTTTAAAAAGTCAAAATTCTGACTTTGTATCTCATAAGTATGACTTTGTAATTCGTCATTATGAATTTGAACCTCAAAATTATGACTTTGGATTTATAATTACGCCCTTGAAGAGCCATAATTATGAATTTGTATCTCATAATTATAACTTTTTAACTCATAATTATGAATTTGAAACTCATGACTTTCTATTTGGCATCTTATTTTATTTTCATGTGGCGGAAACGGGCTTTCATACAACGTTCCCTTTGTTAATATTTTATTTACAGTTAATGTAATTTTATTTCATTTGATAAAAAAAAACATCGCGGGAAAATACAAAATCAAAATCGAACGAATCGTTCCCCGCGAGCGAGTGGCAAACGTACTCTGGCCTTGTGGGATTTGTAGTTCTAACGGAACGTTAGCATCCGGCTAACTCATAACTTCCCGACCGCTGTCTGTGAGTCTCGCCTCCAACTTGAGAATGCTGAACGGGCTGAGCATCGATGGCGGAGAGCAATGACTGAGGAGTTTGATGACGATGTGGTATTTGAGGTTTGTATAAACGCCTATTTTTATTTTTTATTTTTATCGTACTGATGCTTTTGTCGATCAGATGTAAATAAGGACTCATTAACGGGCTAACAGGTAAGCTAGCGTCCCTTTAGCAGCCTCCGTGCCTGTTGCGGTGTAATCCAAAACAATTTGGCTGTTTCTGAGCATGTTCCTCCCGAGCCAAGGAGCTTTGCTGGTCATGAGGGAGGCTGAGCTGCTTTTTCAGCAGCCTTACTAACCGGCTGGGGTGGGGAAGATTACATTCATTGCTGCTGCTTCGCTTCTGAAAAATGACACAGCTGCACATCTTAGTGTTTGATTGATGGCAACATGAGCTGCGACTTCGTGTGACAATGAATGTGAGTACTCATTGCTGCAGTGCAGACAGGCTATAAAGGGATATGGGAAATGCTCCTCTGCAGCAATTTAACTCAGAGAACCTGCTAAGTATGGAGGACCAATCCTGACATTATTAAAATGACATAAAGAAATATAATAAATGACTCATAAATATACATGTCGGGGAAATAATGGCTTGAAATATAAATTAATGAGCCATTAAATGTAACAAAGTGATAAAAACTAGAAAAATATTTAAAGATTATACATTTTTTTTATATAATTATATATCTTTTAACTGTTCTGTATTCTTTCTGCACTTTTATTCTATTCTTTTCTATTTAAGCATTGGAAGTAAATTAATTTTTTTTTTGTTTTCCCAAATATATTTCCCAAAATATATTTAAACTTTATTTTTCATGACTTTGACAAATATCATCAAGTTAAACTGACCCTAATTGGACACTTAACAGGAAGATGGTGATTAATTGATTATCTACAGACATACCTTTTTTTAAAAATTAAGATGAAATATTTCATATGTGGATATTAATTATTTTTATATAATTATATATCTTTTAACTGTTCTGTATTATTTTATTCTAATTTTTCTGTTAAAGCAATGGAAGAAAATTTTGTTGTTTTTTCCAAATATTTTTCCCCAGATATATTTAAAACATATTTTTCATTACTTTAACAAATATCAAGTTACACTGACCCCAATAGGCAATAACATCAGGCAGATTGTGATTTATTGTTTATCAACCTTTTAGATTTAGAATTCATTCCCTCTTAGTCTGTTATCTTTCCCTTGGAAAACTGTAAAGATATAAATTAGTCTTTTCTTTCGGTTATTCTGTCAGATTTGGCCTGAACTGCTTAAGCCCAGGTTGCAGTACGGCCTTAAAATGGGACAGAGTGTCCTAAACGTTGAACTCCCAGAATATTGTCACATTCCGTCTCTTAGCAGGAGAGAAAGTCCAAAGATGGCTTTCTGTTGTAAGTTTTAAACACAGTTGATTATTATATCTGCTTTTTTTTTTTTTATCCAGTTCACCAAAACTGTGTGAGTCATGTTGGAGCACAGCATAATTATTATCCAGAGGTTAGTTAAAAAAAGGTCTTTTGTATGTAACCCATTTCTTATCGAGCAGTGGGCAGGTGTGTATTTCCGGGCTAAGGCTCGATTAGACACAAAGTGCCATTCTTTGGGAATCAAACAAGGAAACTTGCAGGATTCCTGAAGCAAGTGCTATGCTTTAAACAATAGACAATCACTTCCTGTTTTTGAGGTATTTAACTCAACATCAACCAAGACTCTATTATTTAATCAGGATTTTACAAAAAAACAAAACAAAACATGTCTCTGAACTTTAAATGTTGACGATTACTGACATTTGATTTAGAAGCTGAGCTCTATATTAAAACTAACTTATTCCTTGTATGATGACTTTAAAATTATTATTATTTTTGGTGTTTGCTGTATTTTTCCCACATTTATCAGATTAAATGTTAACAGAACTGTGAGGTTCCTTAAATGTTTGATGTGACCAGATGTGGAAAATAGCCCATCTGCAACCCATGCTTTTATTTTGAAGGCATCCGAAAACCAACCCACCTTCCTGCTCCTGCAAAATGTTTTCTGGGTTGGACAGTTAACAGAGAAAAATAAAGTCTTTAGCTCCAATTTTGTATATAATTTTACTAGAAATAAATAAGTTAAAGTAAAAAGCTAAGACTAGATATTAATTGTTCAAATAGAAAAAATAGAGTAAAATTGCAGAGATAAAATGGAACAGTTAAATATATCAAAGTAAAGTACATTTTTATATAAATGTATCTCTAGTTTTTATCAGTTTGTTGTATTTAATTACTCACTAATTTAAATTTCAAGCCATTATCTTGCATACAATTTATGTGTATGTTTTTTTATTTTTAATTATGGCAGGATTGGTCCTCCATAGATAAGAGGGATATGACCCGAGATCTGGGCTCAGCAGCTGTGAATAACTGGGTCAGACATAATTTTAGAGAAAATCATAGTTGCATCACAGACTGCACATCCCTTGTTTTTTTTTTTTTTTTTTATCTTGGTAAAAACAAGCTTATAATTTTTCTTCCAATTAAAATGAAGAACTAACTAAAGTTAATATTCGAAAAGAGACCAACATGGAAATAATTCTGCTTATTAAAGCAAAGATGACCAGGTCTGGAAATATGATCTATGTTTTCTTTATATTCACTCTGGGTAAACATCCGTGCAGTTTCACCTTGCATCCTTTTTCTTCGTACTACCGACATGACATCATTTTCCTCCTCTTCCTCGCACAGATCAGTAAGTGTGTTTCACTTTCTATCTCTCTCTCTGCAGAACTCCCCACTGTTCCAGTACCTTCAGGATCTAGGGCACACCGACTTCGAGTCATGTCCGACGGTGTCTCAGGAGGAGGAGGAGGAGTACGGAGGTGCAGAGGGAGACCTCAACTCTGCTGGCCAAGATAAGCAAAAAACTACAGTGAGTTTTCCTCCATCCTACTGTCATATATGAACTAAGCCTCTCTCTGTTTGTGAGACATCATCTTTTTCCTGCTGCATGTCTCCAGCTTTATTCTTTCTGCACCCGGGTTAAAACCAAACTTAACCCTCTATAAATATGTCAAAGTACTTTATGTTTCATGTTTTTATTTGGTGAAGTTGTTTTTTTTCTCCCTCCGCCTTATTTCTTGCTTCTGGTCTTTGTCTTTTGTAGGTTCCATATTTAGAGTCTTATTGCAGAAATATCAGATATTAATTTACTTTGAAAATTAGAAATCATTAAAAAAATTTCTTTCGAAAACCACTGTGGAATTTGGGGTCTGGAAAAATTATAAAATGTTTTGTATAGTGAGACATAGATTCTGAAGATCCAACTGTATAATAATAATAGCAATAATTCATCAAATCAAATGGAATATTTGCATTAAATGATAAAGTCCCAGCTGGTGGCTTCTTATCTAACATTTAAACTGGTTTCTTGTTGTATCCTAGACCATTGGCTGTGTTTTTTCATGTATTGACCTCCAAAAATTGTCTCATATTGGCTGTTGTTCATCTGATGTTACAAACAAGACAGGAAAACTCGTCTCCAGTTAGATTCCGAAATTAGGTTTTTGGTTTTTTTGTGCATCAGATAAATAAAGAGGTGCTTTGATTTTTATATGAGATTTCATAAATGCAATAACTGGAATCTGGCTGCTTTTCTTTCTGCATTACTCCTAACTCAAAGAGCAACTGTATACAGGTCCTATGTGCTCAGTCTCCAGATGATTTCAGGCACTCCTGGTTTAATCATACATTAGTGCAATCTGAGGATTAAAGGAACCATTTATGACTTTAGTTTTAGGCAACCTGGGATTCAGTTCCAGGAGTTTTCCTGTTAAGCTCATGATGAGGGAATCACATGATTCAACCTCTCCTTGTTTGCCCTCCTCATGAAAATGGGAAACAGGAGTTACGCTTGCCTCGCTCAGGAACTTTCCATGTGTGTCATGCTTCCTTTCTGACGCTCTGTTGTTCTAAGGAGGACAAGGGACTCGGATCTGACTCTTCCTCTCATCCAGACATTTCCTTAAACTCAGATAATAGTTAAACTCTAATAGATAAATGTTGGTACCGCTTCAAACACTCAGGAATGTCAACATCCTGAATGTGTGTGACTTGCTGCATTGTGTTAAAGGGGGCATTCTTTTAATTTGCAGGATTGTGGAGATGATTTGCATAATTTCTTGCAGCATTAGGAGATATAAACAAAATTGTTAATTCAATCCATTATTAATGTCCCTCTGAATACATTTATGACCATGAGCGGTTCTAGACAGGGGCCAGCAGGGGCCAGTGCCCCTGTAGATCATGTCCTGTCCCCTTTACTATAGACATAATACTAATGATGCACATGGTTACTGATAGGTACTTTGGATCTATTTCTCTTTTTTTTTTTTCTTTAGAAATCCTTTTTTTTTTTTTTTTACTAATTATTTAAAAAAATAAGGTAATAGCTTCAGTGGGATTTAGATAGGATCCCAGTTTTCATCTGCTAAATTTTTGTTTCAAAACAAATAAAAAAACCTACTCTAATTTTTACAGCTGAATTTATCCGTTTTTCTTCAGTTCTAATTCAGATTTTATAGAAAATGGTCATTTTAACTTAAATTAAGTCAAAAATATGTACAATTCCTTCAATTATACCTAATTGAATATAAATTTCACTTCATGCAGCTATATTAATATATTTGAATCCCTTGCCCTATTTTTTATTTCATGCTTTTCTGGGCCCCCATGAAAACATGCTGGCCCCCTCCTGGCCCCCTGCTCCATTTGGTCTAGAACCGCCACTGTTTATGACCCTTTATTACACTGTACCACAGCTGATGCACATTTTACCACCTAACTTGCCTGTTTTACTGCTTGATTTATTGTAAATGAACCGTTTAAACAAATCAGTCTCTGTGAGGGAATCTTTTAGTCGACTGTAAAACTCAAATTTAAAGCACATGTAAACATGAATGCATTCTTTCATTTGCTTTGGGAGATTAATGTTTATCATACTTTCAGTTTAATTTATGAAAGACTGAATGCACTCTGACTCAGCTTTATGAAAAACAAGTTTAGGTCGTTTCTTGCAGCAGATAACTGATGAGCTTGCAGAGTAATAACTGGATATAGATCCTTACAGGACTTTCATCATCTCTGCTTTTGCTTATTGTCTGTGGTTTGACTGCAGGCAGAGTTGTGGCCCACTTTGATTGTGCAAACACGTCGTCATGGATAAAACTGACAATCAGTAGCGTGTGAATGTCTCCTCGATAATCAATACGGCTGCAGTTGTAGACTAATCATATTAACCACCTCTGAAATTAAACAAAGTCTCGTCATGAGGTTGCGTTTTTCACTCAAACGCTGTAAGCAGATTAGAGTGAAATAAATCCGGCTCCCATTTAGGCATTATATCATGAGCTTTTTTGGGGGGATCTCACAAATAAACCCAGCAACATTTAAAATAAAACCCAGGATAAACATTGCAACATTATAGATGCCTATGCCAGTTGGCCCCTAAAAAGTGGCGGTTATGTGACAGTGGGATATACCGGCTCTGTGTAGTATGCTTAATTTTATTTTACTTTTTTATGGCATTTTTAATTTGATTTTCAATAGAAACCATTCATAAATTGTTATGTTCTTAATAGTAGCCATACTAACAACAGTTATATAATATTCCTAGTTTGTATTGATCATATTTAAACAAATATATACTTAAATAACACATAAGAACACAGAACAATAACAAAAGAAGGCTGTCAGACAGGCACAATAGAAACCAAGCCCATTTCCACACATCAACAATTTTCTTTGGGCTTTTTCTTTTCTTTCAAAGCCTTTATATCTCTAAAAAAAAATAAAACACCTCCTCAAAATGTTCCTGCTTCCCCTTTTCTCTCTAACATTTGTTGAATCAAAAATGTAAAACTTGGTCTACCTGTTCTGCAATAGAATTATTATTTTTTTTGGATGTAAGATGACATCTCTATCAAATAACTGGGGTATAATATATATATATATATATATATATATATATATATATATATATATATATATATATATATATATATATATATATATATCATGCAGCTGCACACAGGTCTAGAATATTGGGATTAAATCTACTTTTAGAGGAGTATTTTATGTTCTTCTTATGCCCAGTTTATACAGTAATAGTCTGATTTTTGTACTAAGGGATTGAGTGTAGCTTTATTGGAAGTTAAATCCCATTTCTCAAGGGTATTTTACACCTTATAATTCCTCACTCCTTGTTGTTTTATTACCGGTATATCACAGTTTCCTGTTGAAGTTGACATTCATAGATTACACCTTTGCTGACATTTTTAAGTTTTTCCAGTTGTCACTTTTCAGTTATAAAAATGTATAAAAATATTTGTTATCCAATTGGGTCTATTTCTAATTGAAGTTCAGCAAGTAAAGGAGTTGGATGGATTTGAATCTGGGAATTGGGGGGCAGGGGAGGTCTTCTCAAGCACACATTGCAGTCATTGTTGTTGCTTTGTTTCCTTGGTTACTTCGTTTGAGCGTGGATAATGTATGAACTACAGAACTATTGTGAATTTATCTCCTAAAGCTCTGATTGTGGTTCTTTGCAATGTGTGACTTGCAGGGAGGATGTTTATGGAGACTGGTTGAGGCCTTGAGGAGATGGAGTCCCCTTCACCAGGCAGCTGAATCTCATAAGCTGGAGCAGCAGCTGGTAGGTCTAGAAATCAGCTGCTTTGCAGCGTTTAATTAGTGAAACACTCATCGTTTATCTTACTTCATTGTTCCTCTCACCTGAACACAGGACAGTGCTTTTGGCCAGTACTCGGTCAGATGCATCCTGGACCAGGACGTGCTGTTGCAGGAGGATGTGGAGCTTATCGAGCTTTTGGACCCGAGCTTGCTCACCTTCGGCTCGTCGCCTTCCGGCTCCCCAAGCCGAGTGAGCTCCCTGCCCAGGCTGAGTCTCGTCCCCAGGCTATCACTATGGTATTTCTCTTTAGATCATTTATTCATCTCAAATGGACAGCGTACATTGATTTAAAAAAGAAGTTAATGCTAGATATGTTTAGCAGAAAAAATAAGGCTTGCATAGTTTCATATTTCACAGAGAGAAGAATGAAGAGAAAGTGAACGAAAAACACAAACTTCTCTAAAAATAATTGTTCCCCGTTTATAACCCTGTGGAACGCCTGTTTACTAATAGGAACCTGATTTTACATTTTAGAATTTTAACAGTTTGAGAATGTTTAACATGAAATATCCTGCAGTTTTACCACAATTATAGGTAACTACTAGGGATGCGCGATATAATCTGCCCCCTATCGGTATTGGCCTGTATCGGCCTTAAAACTAAATATCAGACATCGGCCACCCCACCGATATTTAATCCGATAGTTGATCAGCTTCTGAGTTTCTAAAGTCTAAAAAAAAATAAAAAAATACTA